ATCGAAGTGGGCCAGTTTAGTATTCCTTGACCGGCTATCACTCTGACTTACATTGAGCAACTTCATGTTGTTCTAATCAAAGATGCGTTAAAATTTGCCGTCAACCAAAGGAAGCATTTCGGCACGATACGCTTGTTTAAAGTCTTCGCCAATGTTTATTAACATCTGCTGTCTTGATCAATCATTTTGAATAGAGTTTTTTACAAAATCAATTACAAGAACCATCAATGGAGAAGTTTTAACTTTTATTCAATACGTTCATCATTATTGAATTAGAGTTCCTTGACAAAAATATAATATGATTACTAATCATTATGGGTAAGTTGATATGTGTGAGGGTATGAGGATGTGAGAGTGGGTGATGAGAAAGCTAACACCAATACCTACCAAACCACACTCATACCTATATTTAACATTAAACTTCCGATTAACTCAACAACTGTTCGGTATTATTTCAAAAGGAACAACTTATATGTGAGGTCCAAGGTAAATCTTTGAGAAAATGCATCTGCGCGATCTATAGTGTTCATCAAAAACGACTTAACCATTTGCATACTTTATTTCTTTTGTCGAGAACAATTATTAACAGTAGTCGAGTGGGTTTATCTGACACTGAAATGAAACCTTCAGAATATCGATCAAACACTATATTTGATGAATAATGGCAATTATCATCTTGTCGAGCGTCGGCGACGGATCTAATGTCTCCCTCAAAGGAAACCTCGAGCCCAGTCTAACAATCACCGGCGAAAACCAATCTTGAACATTGTACATCCATTCGTTTAGCTCAACCTACCACCGCGGACGTCTGTGAAACAAGCAAATGTAATCTTTTTTTTCTATTTATCACAATTGGTGAATAGTTTATGCTAGTATTTGTTTGAACAATAAAAATATTGGAATGAGCAATAATTAAGATACGATATAGCAATAATTTTTGAGCAATAAGAAAACTATCTTTGAGCAATTTTATACTATTAAATGTCCAATAATTAATTTATTAAATAGCAGTAGTAATTTCATATTTTAGTAACAAGAAAAAGGAAAAGTAAGATATTTTTATTTACAATTGACAATAAAAAAAAGAAAAATGAAAAATGAATATATTATTTTGCCAATAAAGCTTTTTTGCTTCAGCTGGTCTTCCTTCTTTCCTTTTAGTATCACTACCCACATCTTTTGCCTCTGGTGAGGGTTTGCACCCTCATCCTCACCCTCTTATCAAGAGACTAGTTCCATATCATTGTCACTTTCGCTGTCAGAAATATACTACGTTACGCGTTGTGATTGAGCCATTTATATAAATTATATATTTTATTTTATAAGATTGAAAAAATACGGTTTGTATACATAAATTCTTAACATAAGAATTTTCCCACCCACTCTATTAGAATTGTTCTATTGATTATCTTGAAAATTTCCTTATGATTATCTTACACTATATATGGGATTTTTTCAACATTTTTGATATTCATGTAATATATATCAATTTTTTCTTCTGTGGGAGATCAGATATTAAATTCTATTGTCTTCTCAATCTCATTGTTTTTTACGTTTTTTTTCATATACCACGCTTCAAGTGTGTACGACATAAATCGAACTCACGTAAACACATAACAGTAAAAACCATACAAATTACATAAATGAATTCGTATTGCCCTTTTTATGTGAAATTTATCTTTAATTTAAATAAACTATTGCTTATTCAGTATAGTTATTGCTGATTCAATATATTTATTGCTCATTCACTATAATTATTCCTGATTCAATATAATTATTGCTGATTCAATATAATTATTGCGCATTCAAGATAATTATTGCTGAATCCAATTATTGCTCATTTCAATTGTTTTATTGCTCAATTAAATATAAGTCAATAGTTTAGTCCAAAAATAGTTCTTCAGAAAAATTATCACTTGTCAATGTCAAGGCAGCAACAACAGTAACGATGGTAAATAACGATTTAGATGCGGCCTGCATGAATTCGTTATTTAAAAAAGCAAGCGGAGACGCGTTTCCAAATGAATCATCAACAATTTCATCTTCTGTTTTCTACTTTTTGCGTTTTTAAGGATGCGTGTGAAATTATTTTCCGGTTTTTTTTCTTTTCTCCACTACTCTTAAACTATTTCAATTATATTTTCTCGCTCTGTGGCTCTTCGTCATCTAGAGGAACTATTCGATGATGTGTCTATCTATATGTAACGCTCGCACTGCATCGATACTCGATGGCGATTATAGCAACAATATTGACAATCATGTTAATGTCGAGCCTTGATTAATCCGAATTGCCTTTGATACATTCGGCTTCTCTGATCGTCGCAGTTCTGTTGCACAACGTTTTTCAATGAATACACTTTCTATGCCATTTACTGCTCCAAAAAAAATTAAAAAAGATAGTTTATCATCCCCCTCTTATTCATAATAGTCAATCTAGGAATTATTTGTCATTTCACCAGCAACACATAATTTTTATAAAAGTTAAACATAGTGTCGAACAAAACTTGTAGCATCATACGGAAACTCAGCAATAAAACAACGTATATCAGCTTACTCAGATATACTACGTTAAGGATAAAGCGAACAAGTGAAATATCGAAAGCAGAATAGAAAAACTGTTATCTGATTGAGAATCGAAAAATCATCCGTATATATCTTTTTTCTTGCCATTTCTCAACGAATATGACGAATACTAATGACAGATATCAAGCAAAAGCTAATTGCAATCTATTTTAGTTTCCTACTGGCTGCACAAATTCTTCTAAAGACTTCATCATGTTACATTTTTGTATGAAATATGCCAATGATCACGCTGGAATACGAATTCTATTCTATAGAATACTGACAGTGACATTGACTCGTCTTCAAGTGCAACGAACGAATCTGCATCAATCTCAATTCAGTTTTGTTTATCTCTATTCTTAGAAATCTCTTACGCGTTTTCTCACACTTGCAACTCACCGACAAACGTTACGCACTATGCAATTGACACCGCATGATTTATCATATTGTAAATGGTTCATTTTATTTCCATCAAAACAGTTAGTTGATTAATCAAAACTCGAACAGAGTCTTCAATCAAAACCAACTTTATTCTGCAACATCAGGCGTAAATAATATCGAAAAAAGATGATTTTCAATAGTAGAACTAGTGGAGTTTTGGCTAATGAACATTTCTAGGAGACGAAAGTCTATCTCTCACGGGACGATCATGAATAATACATCAATCCATCAATCGAGTTCGTTCGATTCTGGGTCCTACAATCGTAGCAATAGTGATGTTGGCTTACATAATTTGATTTCATACACTCTCAATCGTAAAACAAATTCTATGGCTTCAGTACGTCTAGTAAGCGTTGATATACATCAATAGAACATGAACAAGAAAGCTTTTTCCGGTGATCAGTCTTCTATTTTGATGATGACAGCATCTAACGAAGTCTAGCGGACAAACAATGATTGAAAGCGACATCATTAGCTCAACTAGTGTGTATGTGTGTATATGTATGTGCGAGCACTTATCTTCGGCAAAATATGTTGTATACTTTTCAATCAAAAGAAGTGTTAGGAAAACAAACTGTTATATGATTATAGCCAAACGCATTTTTCTTTCATTGTCTGCTCACAAGAGGGAGAAAAATAATTATTAGCTAAATGGAAATGTTGTTAATGAAAGAAACAATAAAAAAGATGAAGGGAGAGAAAATGCATTTTTTGCAATGTTAATGAAGCTCTCTACGCAAGACTCATAAAGAATTTATCATCGGTAACATTAACTATGGTCGAGAGAAAAAAAGGTTCTGACTTTTGTTTTTACATTTCTGTGAAGCGATAAACACATCGACAAACTTTAACAGAGAATAAAAACAAGCAAATGAAATGCAGGCTATTCTCATTTTCTAGTGAAACTAACTTCAAGTTACACGAAGAAATAACTAGGAGCATTCAATTATCTTCTCAGTATAAAGTATGAAATCTCCAACATCGCCAATGCGCCGTAAGTTTGTCAATGGTTGGATGGAATAGCTAGTCATAATTAGAACATATGATAGCATTAGGATCTTTTGAGCTTCAGTTGAAAACACTTCAGTATACATATAGTTCATTTCGATGGAAAATATTAGAAGATACCGTTACAGCTTCGAAATAGAAATCTACTATAATTCGATCACAGTGACTCATCAATAATGAGTCGTATTTTCTAGTCCCAATCAAAAATCAAAATTTTGTAACCATGCAGTTAAGAAAAATCGACTAGCTTATATTTATACAATGATTTTAGAACACCAATAGATGCGTTTATACTTCGCACATGGTTAATTTGAATGTAGAGAACTTTGCAAAAAGAATCAACCTTAGGAAAAAAGGCATCAATATTTAGGCAGTTTCTTCAGTGACAAGAACTCCATATGCATCATACTTTTCTGAATCATTACCATTCTTACATTTTGTAAAAAATGATCTATTTCATGCGTGTTTCCGAAGAAAATTAATCAAGGAAAGTGTTTTCTAAAAGAGCAAGAAAATTATTAGCAATGGCACAGCAATGATACGACTTGAAGCTTTTTCAGTGTAAACAACACATTGTTTTCCCCAAACATTTTTTGAGTAATATCAAACTGTCACACTAAATATATACTGTGAGCATTTTATCCTCAATTTATCATAGACACTCGATGATAATTCAGAAGTCATAGTTCAATAAGTAAAGAGAAAGATTGATACTGAACCGCACAGTTACATTATCCTTTCGTATTCTTGGAACTTTGAGCAGAGAAATTTCGAAGATCCTTATTGAAGCTGATCCTTGCTACTTTTAAATCAAAGCATTTTGCTCAAAAAAAAAGAAACATCGTAACAAATATTCCAGTGAGAAAATACTTTGAAGTTGCTTTTTCCCATCTCCTATAGGTGGATCGGTCGAAAGACCACCATCGGCTCGATCGATTCGAGATGGTAACCGACAATTGCTGCAACTGGTGACGAATCGACGAGTATATATGGCTGAAAATAATACTCCTGCTAGTAACACTGAATCAAATAATAGTGCACAAAATTCAAAAAAACCACCATTCAACTGGCCAGTAAATATTACAAATACAAAAACAAAAAGTGAAAATATTAAAGACGTAAGCGAAGAGAATTGTAATGATCTGAACAATACTCCACTAAAACACTTGATCTTCAAACAAATTGATAAAAGTCCCATCGAGGTAAATTTCGAACTAGTTATTTTAATAATAAGATTCATAGATTAAATTTATCATTTGTGTCAAACCGATATAGGTACAAATTCGTTGTGTATTTATGCGAGTTGGTGAAATCGATACATTAAATGAGCGTTATTATGCTGAAATACTTTTTGAAGCTTCTTGGGAAGAACCGAAACTCAAAGGTCTACAAAAGAAACCTTTTGATCCAACAGTCTATTGGACGCCACAACTTGAATTGGTGAATGGCATTGGTGAACTTCACGATACGATAATGTACAGTGTTCGTCATGATCGTCTAGGTGTCGCTACAGTGACTGAGCATCATAAATTAAAAGGCACATTGTGGGAACGAATGGAATTGCAATATTTTCCACTTGATGTTCAAGACTTATCAATTTCAATTACAACATCACATTCAAGCAAAGAAATGGTCTTTCTGAAGAATTTTCATAAACCATCAGGAGCAAATCGACGAGTTTTTACTGATGAACAGGAGTGGTACCTTTTCGAACATGTAGATATTGAAATAACAGAGCGAATCGAAGAATATGTTGAGGATGGAAACAATCATTCAGTAGTTATTTGCTCTTGCCATGCAGCACGGTAAGAATAACTTGTGTAACATATTTTGACATGCAGGATCTATTTCTAATATATAGGAGATATGGATACTTCATGTGGAATGCCTACTTCCTCATTTTCCTCATAACATCAGCCAGCTTTACAACATTTCCAATTCCACTGGACAAGTAAGAGTATAGGATCAATATTTCTTCATCACCATCAATGACAAAACGTTTGACTTATTATTTTAGTATTAGTGGACGTGTACATATAGCATGCACACTTTTACTCACGTCGATTACATTTCGTTGGCTTTGTAATAAAGCATTACCGTAGGCAACGATATGTTTAATTCTGAATTCTTATTTTTTGTACATACTTATTTCATTCATTTAGAACAATCTCTTATCTCACAGCAGTTGACGTTTATGCAATTGGTAGTATTTTCTCACTTTGTCTACTAAATATCTGTTAGTCAAATGTTGCCATTTATCTTACCTTCTCGACTAAAAAGTTTGCATTTATTTTCTCATCTAGATCATGGTGTTATTGGCTATGTGAACTATTATATATCGACAAGTACGACTGGCTCGACAATCACAATCAGTGTACAAAGTATAATTGTTATCGATCGTTGGGCATTAGTAGTATACACTATATTATTTTTTGCCTATCAATTTGGAACACTAGTTTGGATGTATCTGGTACCATGGAAAAGACGTCGAACAATGTTTCGAAAGGATAGAGAGAATCGTATGGCATTTGCGGCCAAGTATGGCTCCCATCGAACCACTTTTATTGACATCTTGCGAGCTACAACATTTAAGCAAAAATCTGCTCCTACCGTTTCGACTAGCACCGATATTGAACAATCTTGAACTAGTTTCATAACGTTGAACACGATGCTTTTTCTTTGCATATGATAATACTGAAACGACTGTAGTTCACTCATTCAATACATACACTCTAGAGCTGCATAATCTGTCTTATTTGTCTTACTAGCTTTCTTTTGTCGACACATATTAAAAGTATGAAACTTTCGTCTTAACTGCATAGATATATTCATTGAAGAGAATCTTTTATGGCAAAATCCTGAGTTAGTATTTCTTTTATTTGGTGAAAAAACATAATCAACTTAGATGAAACATCGAAATTCACGCATGATTGGATAGTTATCAAATAGTTGTATGTGATGAGAATAGTTTATGCATCGATCATATTTCTTTGAAGTTAGAGCATGATCTCTCTCGAATCAGTCTTACCAAGCATAAATTGATTATTTTTTTTTAAACTGCTATCTACGTCTATGACTGAAAACAGAAAAACTAAATATCAGCGAAAAAAAGTTCATAGATCAACAGAGCGAGACAACTTCGAACAAAATCACTTTCAACGGATACACACTCGTTGGATATGTTGACTAACAATTTCATTTGTTGGTATTATGTTCAAGGAATTCTCTGATTGTGCTTAACCTCATACTTGTTGCTTTTTGATATTTAAAGAAACTCAAACGGTCACTAGATACTTATTTTGAGATCTAGCTAACAACTATAATGGCATAAGTCGGTGTATGATAGTGAGTACTGATTCTTTCTGCATGGTTTTTTTATTTGTTGACTGTCTCTATCGTATCAAATCCATTGATATGTTTTCAAGAGGAATATTCCTCGTTCATTCAAGATGACGATCTTGATTTCTTCTGCTGCATGAGAACTTGTTTATGAATTTCCTTGATGTAATGACTGACTTTTATTCAGAAAATTCTCCTGATTAACACACTTATGCAAATGAATACTAGTACAACCATAGATACCATGTTTTCAAATGATCATTTTTTGTCGCCCGTTTTCATTTGTTTGCAGCATTTCTGATTTCCATACATATCCAACGAGCATGATTTTCTTTCTGTTTTTGTTCATCATTTATACAGTATGGGTATGGTTGTGGCATGTGAGTAGGATAGAAGCCTTGCCAACACCTCACATTCACATACATTCTTACATATATCCCACCTCCACACTTGCATCCATAGTCACATCCGTCCACACTCACACCCACATCCACCCAAAATGTGTTTGCATCGAATCCAAGGAAAGCGTATGCCAGAGCCACCAGTTTGCTTCAACTGCTTAAACACAACGGAAATTATTATTGTTGATAATGAATATCACTTATTTTTCCTTCGAACATTAGAGTTGTGAAAAGAACAAGTTTTATCGATTAGCCAGATTCCCCCATTATTTGCGTCTATGCTGCAGCTATTCGCGATATTAATTTGATCAAAGCTCATAAAGCATTTTTAGAATGGTGGTCATTTTACTATGACTATTCCAGAGGCGAAAAGCTTCTTGATGCCTTTTGTACGCCATAACACATTGATACTTGAATGAATCGAGCTCAAACTTTCAGGATAGCTTTCGTGTAGCTGAACATTATTGTCTACAAGTTTTAGAAAAGAAAGTTCTTCTAAAAGCAAATGACATACTAATGATCATCGTCTCGGTGTTTCGGGCTCGAGGACACCTATAGGCAACAGCGTGAAGCAAATTACATGTTCCCAGCTAAAGTGTAACAGGAAAAAAACTGCTTTTTGTGCCAACACTATTAGGTACGCATCGAGCGCGAGTATAAACCGAGCAGCTCTGGCTCGGTACAACTTGAGCTTACTCAGAGCCTAAACGAGTCTAACCGAGCCTGAGCCTGATCAAGCTCGACCTTGACCGAGCCCGAACTCGACCAAGAACGAGCCTAGCCCAGTCCTAGTTCTCGGGGTTGGTACTTGTCTCGATAGTATTATAAACAAATTTTAATACACCGTGAAATGCACAGCATTGTTTCAAATTACTTTTTAAGAACCTCATCTAATACTTTTGTTTATAAACGCGTATTAAAGCTAGTCAAATCGGTAACCATCGTCTGTGTTACGTCTCTTTACGTCAATCGTAATTTTACCCGAACTACCTCATATATGCGCCAGAAAAGGTTTTCGGTCCGGCCCAAAGCAAAAACCGACGCTTTGAAAGCTGTTGCTAATGATAAGACCTTAGCAGTGCTCACTGCCAAAGTGAAAGATCATAGATCGTTTATAAGCGATAGATAATCCCGGTCACAAAGTAGCAGATATAACTAAATTCTATGAAATAGTTGTACACTGCTTAACAAGCGCAATATTGATTCTGAGTGTGCCAGTATGTAAAATACACACGGTAGTACAGTTCCACAAAACCGCATAACTAAAAATATCGTTGTTGAAAAATGGCAAAAGATACAATGAATGGTAAATGTATTGACTAGCATCATTTGTCACCCTAGGATGACTCAGTTGTTATTTCAATATCTCAAAAAGAGAATGGTTTCAGAAACTGAAACTTTGGGCGTTTTCACATCGGACTTTCGGTTGCATACAGACCAAGTTTCATTGAAACCGATGGCATCAAGTGAGCAGGATTGATTAGTCTTATCGTGCAATGGCTTCTAGGGAAGTCTCAATATTTACACAAGCCCAAGCAACAAAAATTTCTTGAAGCATCTTCGGACACTGCGAGGACGATTTACAATTGGATGCGTGACTTGCATACATGGAAGTTAGCAGCGACTTCAATTAATGATTATTTTAAAATAAATCATATTTTTTGCATGTAGATTAATGTTAAAAGCGCCTTCGAAGGGCAAGTATCAACTGGAAAAAATCAGCTCTTGGTTTTTTTTATTTGCACTGTTTTAAACAACATCTATAACGGCAAGCAGTATTAGGGCAATCGAGATGAATGATGTGTGGCCGACGTCGTCTGGAAAATTTCGGAGTATGGTAAATCCCTTCCCCCATATTAGAAGCCCCCGGGGGCTTCTATTAGATCCTGCAAACTTTGGTCCGGTTTTGCTAGGCAAAACTGAAAATTTTGCTGGAGAGACCCCTTCAACGGGGCTTCTAATAAGGGGGGGCTTCTAATATAGGAGGGGCTTCTATTATGGGGAGGGGTTTAGCAAATTAAAGGCGGGAGTACGACATCTTGAACCGATAGCCAGCTTTTCTTGCTTATGTCTGGAAATAGTCACAAGTGAGCAAGCCTTCCCGCAAAAAACTATCCCCAACATGCTACTATTCTAGTTCCTAGCCTTTTTGGGAATACTCCAGCGATACAGAAAGCCGTTTCGTCGTTTCAAGCTAGATTATAACACAGTCGAAAGGTCCAATCATGAGCCTGGTCATAAAAATTATATTTTTCGATGTATGAAAGTATAGGAATGAAAAAGTAATCTTCACTCTCACAGACGAAAAACCCATGCAGGCACTGCATCGCATGAAATTGAATATGATGGTAAAATGATATCTTTAATGAAACAAGGAAAATATCTACTCGGCCGAAATGCTTTCATGTTTCTCCAGTGGCATCCGGTTGTTTTTTATTGGCAATAAAAAAAGGTTGAGTGAAAGCCATAGAAAAAAGTCCGAGGACTTTTTGACCCAGAATATTGCTTTTATAGTCTATTGATGTTCAGGATTTTTCGTCAAAACCTTTTCGTATGCATTCATTTGAGGATACAACGAAAATATGGTAATATACGATCATCCTATTTTAGTCGTAAACATCCTCTAGACGGCACAGTTGCATTCAAATAGCATGCGGTATACATATCTAATCCCCTGTGAAGTGGAAAGTGTCGTTCTTTATTTGACAATTTAATTTCGTCCCTGAACTCCTCCTTTACACTATCGCATCAAACTCATTCTTGTGTAATATACCTCTGCTGCAGTAAGACTCACCAGTGAAAGAACATTAAAAATTAACGACAGCAAGCTCAATGTCATAGAAACCAGCATAGTGAATAGAGAAACAAATCAACAACGAACTTTGCATGCATTCGTTTGTCTGTTTGTTGATGTAACTGTTGCGCAGCTTTAAAATAAAGGAGCATACTTTGTCAGTATACTATTATGTGAATAGCAAGAGAGAGAGAGAAGTGTTTGAACGACAGCATACGCATCAAGTAACTGTAATTAACGTTGCACTTCAGCAACAACTCAGAGCGGCAAGAAAG